TGAGCTATGGGGTAAAAAGGAGAAAAATTGTAATAATCTCAGCAATAAAGATTTATTAAAATAAACAACATAATAAAATGTCCATACTATTATACACAAAGAAATCTATAGGTTCAATCTAATTCCTATCAGAATACCAATGGTGAATTTATAGAACAAATATTTCAAATAATTCTTCGGAATTAGAGCAGATTCTGAATATCCACAGCAATTTTAAGGGGAAATGTGAAGTTGTCATCCTGTCTGATATCATACTGCAAAGCCATAGCATTCAAAACAGCCTGGTCTTGCATAAAAACAGATACATACAGGCTGTCCCCACAAATGCATAACCGCACTTTGAATAATTATAAAGGCAGTGTTTGTTTAACTAGATTTCACTTACATTTAACAGAAATTCGCTGTCAAAGTGTGTATACAGTTTTTGGGATACCTTCTAGATGAATGGAAAAATAAAAGAAAGGGCCAAAAACTGTTATTTTTTAAAACTTACAATTTAGTTTATGTTTGAAAACACGTTAAGAAAAGACCCAGAGTCAGTAGGTTAAAGTGCACAGGCTTTCCGGTGATAACAAATACAGGGGCTTGCCAAGACACCTAGGTCATGGCCATGCTGCCTGCCATCGCCTCAAGCAGGTGAGAAAAGACCACGTCTGCTGTCACAATGGCTTCCCCTTGAGGAAGACGCTCAGGACAATACTGCTTAAACCACACTGAGTGAGCACCGCTTTGCCCGCTCCCGGGGATCAGCCCATTTCCCGCCAGTCAGTCCGGCTGGAGCGCACAGGAGGGCTCCGGGCCGCCATGCCGCTGTGCTGCTTGGCACTGCCAGGAGGCACAGGGACCAGGTGCATCCAGAGGCTGTGCCTGTGTCTCCCTGGGGACTCTGCTGGGGGCGCTGCACACCCCGGGAGGGGGCCCGCTCCAGGCCTCAGCGGGGCAGGCCCTCAGCATGGCCGTGTCTAGGCCCTTCCTTCCCCGCCCCCCTTCCCAGCGCCCCAAGGAGGACCGGGGATTGTGTTCTGTGGGCCGGTCCAGGGCCTTCCATGGCCCAGACACCCCAAATACTGTCCCCCAAACCCTTTACCTGCCCCCTGCCCTGCTGGGCCCAGCCCCTCCTAGTCCGGGTCACACCAGGCCTTCCAGGGCCATGGCGGCCATGATGCCTGAGAGGACAGAGGCGCTGCCCTCGAGGCCCTTCCTCCTAGGAGGCCACAGACCCCGCGGCTCCGCCCCCACCCAAACCCGCGGGCCTTCTCCTCACACTCTGCCATATTAATTAAAGTCCCGGAGGGCAGCTCTGTGGACCTACCAGGTGAATGTGAATCAGCGAGAAGGAATCAAAATGGAAGGAACACGGCCGCCTGTTGAGTAGTTCTCATCAGTGAACTGGGACAGCAAGGCACATGCGCAGCAACTAATTTGCCTTAAAGGCACAGGCGCAGAAGTGGCCATGTATCTTAAAGAACAGTCTGAACTGTGCAGCTCTGGGCATGCGCAGCAGTGGGCGTGGTCTGAAATGCGCATGCGCAGGTATGAGCACACAAGCTCACTTGTGTCCTGATACAGGAGTTGAGCGTTTCCCTGCCAAGGCTACAGAGCATTGTAATCTCTAATTTAGCCCTGGTCAAGAAAATGGCTTGAATCATTTTCCTACTGGGAATCATAATTACTCTTTCAATAACATTGTGGATAGACAGGGTATGTTTAACCTCCATGGAGAATACGTTTCATAAACAGGGCCGTGTCAGAAACGTATTTTAATAACATGTTTTCAGGTATACTTTGAAGAAACACTGCCTTCTGATTTTGGGATTTGTGACATATGTAAAGGAATGCGTTCACTTCCATAAATTAAATACATTAACCTCCCCTGCCCTCACATTTTCCTAACTTCTCTGGTGTGCGGAAGTGGCCTTATATGGAAATGAGGAGTCTTAACTGTGCAGTTCTGGGCCTGCGCAGCAGTGGGCGTGGTCTGAAATGCGCTTGGGCGGATATGAGCATGGAGGCTCACTTGGGCTCCTCATACAGAAGTTGAGGTTTCCCTGCCAAGGCCACAGACCATTGTAATCTCTCTGTCAGCCCTGGTCAAGAAAACGGCTCGAAGTTTGGTTTTTCCTTACCCGGAATCATTCTTACTCTTCAGAAACTTCGTGGATAGACACGCTAAGTATAACCATCATGGAGAATATGTTTCAAAAACATGGCCGTGACAGATACGTATTTTAATACTATGTTTACTCGTACACTTTGACGAATCCCTGCCTTCTGATTCTGGGATTTGTTTCATGCATTCAAGGAATTTGCTCACTTCCATAAATTAAATACATTCACCAGTTTTCTTAACTTCTCTGCTTGTTTTACCAGGCATACATCTCCAGACGGAAACCGTTTCTCTGAACATACCGGTGGTCACTCGGTCAGTGTATGGTTTACCAATACCCTTAGATAACGGTGCTAGCATTTAGGCTCAGTTCTCTGTCACCAGTACTGCAACCTGTACTCTACTTCTCAATCACCAGACCAACAACATGCTAAACAAAGATCACTTACCGCCTATCACTACAGTCATCATGTACAACATCCGTTTTCCTGTGTACACTTTTACAACTTTTTACATTGAGAAACAAGGATATCTAACTTAGAAGTTGAATCCCAAAGTATGCTTTGAACGGGATTCAATAAATAATTTTGAATACACTCTGTTCCACCTTAATTTTGAGGATTGAAGTAGGTGATACATGTATGAAACCCAGCACAGAGAGGTTGTAATGAGTAGTATATACTGTATAAATGTGATTAATTATTCTTATTATGGAAGATCTCAAGAAATGGAGCTATTGTTATACGTACATAGCTGAGCATGTGGGCAGGTCATTCATTACCATGTAGGAGATTGAAATTATCCAGGCAAATTAATAGAGCAATGACTTTTACCTTAGTGCGTGGACAAAAATAAACCAGGTGTGTGGCCCACCAGCTGTGAGTTTGACATGCTTGGCAAGTTTGATATCAGCATACAATCAGGAGTGGGTAGCTTTCCAGTGACAGAATCATCACAGATATCTAAGAGGGAAAATGAGCATCTCACAAAAGCTGAAGTGATGGGCACTTTGAATTATCCTCTTCTGTTCCTCTGGTGTAAGTAGGCTGATACTAAAAAATGAGAAGCCACTCAGAGCTGAGCATGGGAAAGCCTATTGCTCCCCTGTTCCCAGCCTTGAATAGACTTGCATTCCAAGGAACAGAAGATTTTTTACGTATGACTTCATTTGATGAAACTAGTGTACCTTTGTCCCAAAGTCCAAAGATAATATGTGAAATAAAATGGCTTAATGTTGTTCATGAGGTCCTTTATAAACATCCTAAATAAAGTATGAGAATATAGTTTATTCAGAAGAATAATATATCATGATCAGCCACTCTCCCTCCAAGAAATATAAGATTTTTTAAACTTAGAATGTTATCTATACAACTCACCATATTAACAGATTAATGGAAGGAAAAATCCTATGACCAGTTCAAGAAATACACAAGTGTCTGATGGAAGTTCACAAATATTCAAGATTAAAATTCTTTCCAGATAAGATTGGAATGGAAATTCCTTTACTTCACAGTGAACATGGTAAAATGTTAAACATTTTCCCATTTTATATCAAGAATAAAGCAGCATTCACAAACTAATCCCAATTTTATTAGCATTGTACTGAGTGTGTCGGTTGTAAAAATAGAAAAGGAAACATAGGCATATTTGAAAAAAATCCCCATTAGAGGATAATCCTTACATTGTTTTTTTCAGACAGCGTGGAAGGTGGGAAACAGGGTTGGGTGTTGGGAGAGAACAAGTGATACACACACACACACACACACACACACACACACACACACAGACACACACACACTGGTTGATTGCCTGCCTCATGCGACCCAACTGGGGCAGGGTATAGAGCCTACACCCTGGTAAGTACACTGGATGTGTAATCCATTCCAAGACCCATAAATCCACGTACCGACACTCGGTTCACTGAACTAAACCAGGCAAGGTAGTGTAATTTTTTCTTTAAATCCTGAACTGAGTTTATTTTTCAGTTCATTTTTAGAGAGTGGAAGAGAGAGGGAAAGACAGAGAAATATCCATGTGAGAGAAACACATTGATTGGTTGCCTGCTGCATGAGCTCTGACCAGGGCCCAGCTGGGGAGCAGCCAGCAACCAAGGTATGTGCCCTTGATTGGAATCAAACGTGGAGCCCTTTCGTGCACAGGCTGATGTCCTATGCACTGGCTAGGGCCTAGGTAGCACACTTTTTAAAATAGCCAAGAAAAAGTCTGTCAGCATTTAAAAATAACTTGATTACTCATTAAGAAACTTAGAATCTATCTCGATTAAACTTTTAGAAATAATATGCATACATAGCAAGGTTGCTGAAAAGAATATCAATGAAAAAATACACTGAGTGTCCAGATTATGTTTTCTGAACACATAATAATCTGGCCACTCAGTGTATATCGTATATAATAAAGGGCTAATGTGCAAATTGTCCCTTCAACCAGGAGTTCTAGGAGCAGGCAGGTCTGCCTACTGGCCAGGTCCTCTCCCCCTGGCCAGGCTGGCTGGATCCAACCCATGCATGAATTCACACAGCAGGCCCTAAAGAACTGTGCACATGCGCACGCCCGCACGTGTGCACCACATACATCCACAGACACACACACACACACACACACACACATACACACACACACTGAGTGGCCAGATTATTATGCATCCAGTGGTTATAATAATCTGGCGAGTCAGTGTATATCTGCACATGAAAGCTCAATTGGAATATAAAATGTCAGAAAATTATATAATTTTCAATAGCATCAGGTTTTGGGAATACGCTTCATAAAAGATTTGCAAGATTCCGTGGATAATGCTGCAAAACTTTATTGATAGAATTTTAACAGTGAAGTATTCAACATAAGAATAATCCATGAGTCTTGAGATCATCTTTCTTTAAACGGATGGTTTTTCTTCCCCTGCAAGAGAAAAATAATTGTTGGGAAGATTCCTTAATCTCATTAGATTTAATGACATTAATGCTACACAAAACACAAAGTTTAGTGTGTTTTGTTTTAAAGATATTTTATTGATTTTTTACAAAGAAGAAGAGAGGGACAGTCAGAAACATCGATGAGAGGGAATCATTGATCAGCTGCCTCTTGCACACCCACCACTGGGGATGTGCCCGCAACCAAGGTACATGCCCTTGAACAAATGGAACCCGGGATCCTTCAGTCCACAGGCTGGAGCTCTATCCTCTAAGCCAAACCGGATTGGGCCCAAAGTTTACCAATGTTGACTAAACACACCACTCTTTCTATTGGTACTCAGAAACAAAAAGAGTGTTCCAGTTCAGAGCACAGGAAATGAAAGGAACTTATGAAAAGGTCGTTTTAAACAGTAAGAAAAATCTGAACACATTCCAACAGAAATCCACTAAGAGAGAAAAGAAATGTACAGAAATGCTTACATTTGAAATGCTATTCTGAATATAGGAGAGCTAAAACAGAATTGTCATACTTGTTCCTGCCTACATGAAGTAAACAGAAAGGCGCATACATACTCTCTTTGGCAAGTAGGGTAATAACCAGATGTCTCCAATTCCATTTGTAATCTTAGTGTAATTTTAAGTAATGCATTTCTCACACTGTATGAGTTTCAATGTGTATACCTCCTTCTACAATCACATTAATTTTAAGTCAGTTAAATCATTTTTTATATAAAAACATGAAGCTCCTTTATAGAATGATTTTCAGCAAGGCAAAAATAAGAACATCACACACACACATGCAGACATATACACACACACACATGCAGACACACACACACACACACACGCATAAAGAAGAAGCAATAGACAGATGTAGAGTTATGGGGATGTGAAGGAAGAATGGGAAAGTGAGGAAGATACCTAGACAAATAAAAAACTTTTGCTTCTAAAGGTCATTACGTTCTAAAACTTTTACTGGCCCTGGTCGTAGTGCATGCAGGAGGGAACTAATTGAGGTGTTTCTCTCACGTCCATGTTGCTCTTTCTCTCTCTCTCTGAAAATTTTATAAAATTATCAATTTGTGCAGTAAATATGCCACATAGAATATGATTACAAAGGATTACATCACAGTGCTCCTATTTTTATAAGGGACATTCACTCATTTAATCTGACAGTGGTAACAGTGAGCTTGCTTAGCAGCGGTGCCTTACTCACAGCTTACCTGAGCATTGATGATCACCTGCACCCTCTCTATCTGTTCAGAGAAACTAAAAACTGGACTATTTCTTGACACTCTACCATTCAATTACCTGATGCTTCATTGGGAAAAGGATTAAAAATGCAATTGTTTCTAAGCCAGAAGAATTAAAAAGTTGACAGAATCTAAGAACAGTTATCAACGTCTACATATAGAAAAAGAAATATCAGTGAAGTGTATACTCATTATTTTATCATAGTAGGGATGAGAGTTCAGTTTAGATGTTAACATGTGGCTAGGAAGATAATTCATGACCAGTCATAAAGGAGAATATTACTGTATTCTTTCAAACACAAGTAGAGAATCAGGGAATCAGCATTGAAAATTAATTTAAGATATTTATTTGAATTCACTTTTTACATAAGTGTAAATATTGGTTCTGCAATTAAGGACTCTCCGTACTACCTAAAGCAATCTACTGATTAATTCAATCCATATTAAAATACAGACAGCATATTTCACAGATCTAGAAGCAATACTCAAAAACGTTATAGAAAACCAACACCCCATCCCCATACTCCGAACAGCCACTATAATTCTGAGAAAGAAGAAAGTTGGAGGAATCACAATACCAGATATCAAGATAGACTACAAAGCCCCCATAATCAAAGTAGCCTGGTACTGGAACAAGAATAGTTCAATGGAACAAAGAGAATCTCCAGAAATTGACCTAAGTCATTACACCCAATTATTATTTGGCAAAGGCAACAAAATCCTACAATGGAGTCAATGCACTTAATTTAATAAATGGTGCTGGAAATATTGGTCAGATAATATGCAAAAAATGAAACCAGATCCCCAACTTATACCATACCCAAGAATAAACTGAAAATGGATAGAATAGTTAAATGTAAGTTGTGAAACCATAAAAATCTTAGAAGAAACCATACGCATCAAAACCTGCGACATCTCTTGCAGCAATATACCTGCAAAATTTTTATATCTCCTAGGGCAAAGGAATCTAAGGTGAAAATAAACAAATGGGACTATTTCAAAATGGAAAGCTTTTGCATAGCAAAAGAAACCATCAAGAAAATGAAACGGGAGCCCAATGCATGGGAGAACATATTTGGCAGTGATACATCTGAAATTGGATTAGTATCCAAAATGTACAAAGACCTAATACAACTTTACAAAAGAAAGACAATCTAATAAAAATCGAGCAAAGGACCTAAATAGACACTAATCCAAAGTGGACCTACAGATGGCCAGGAGACATTTGAAAACACGCTCAAAGTTACTGATCATCTGAGAGATGCAAATTAAAATGACAATGAGATACCACCTCATACCTCTCAGAATGGCTACCATCAACAAATCAACAGATGACAAGTCCTGGGGAGGATGTGGAGAAAGGGGAACCCTAGTTCACTGCTGGAGGACAGGCAGAGTGGTGCAGCCATTATGGAAAACAGCATGGAGTTTCCTCAAAAAATTAAATATTGTACTGCATTTTCACCCAGTGATCCCAGTTCTAGGGATATATCCTAAGAAACCGGAAACACCAATTAGAAAGAATGTACGTACCCTTATGTTCCTAGCAGCATAACTTAGAATAGCTGGATCTGGAACCAGCCCAAGTGCCCAAAAGAAGATGAGTGGATAAAAAAAAGCTGTATTATGCTAAGCAAAATAAGACAGAGTAAGAGAAGTATCACATGCTCTCACTTATATTTAGAATCTAATGAACAAAACAAACTGATGAGCAAAATGGACACAGAAACACAGAAGCACAGAACAGACTGGGGAACATCATAGTGAAGGTTGGGGAGGGTGGGTGTTCAGTAAGTGATCAACCAAAGAACTCGTATGTATATATTCATAATCCATGGACATTGACAATAGGGTGGTGAAGGCCTTGGGTGGGGGTGTGCTAGAAGGGGTTAAAAGGGGAAGAATCAGGACAAATATAATAGTTTTCAACTATAAAGTTTTAATTTAATGAAAGAAAGTAAGAACTCTCCCATGATTTCACCAATTATATTAGAGATGGTACTAGAATCTACTTCAGTTTCTCAACATTTTTCATGTAGCCAATGTTTATTACAAATGCATTATGTATTTATAACTGCAGAAATCATAAGAGAATTCAAAACTTGTTAGCTGTCCTTCAAAGTACTTTACTCCAAAGAAAATGTTTTCAAATATTGGGATTCAATTTGGCTTTGAAGCAGTGTGTGTCTGTATCTGATTATCTATAATCAGGCAGTCATTCATTTGGGGTCTGAATTACTGTTCAAAGTAACATTGCCTGTAAATCTATACATGTATCAATATGTAATCTCTGGTCATTAAAGGTATGAAATTACGAAAATCTGAAAACACATTAATTGCATTCTGAATTAGTAATATACCTGTTTCTGGAATTTCGATGGGCTCTGGATTTCCACAAGCATGCCCGACGACATCAGGATCATCTCCACCCTCTGGTCCAGTCACAGGTTTGTCCAGTTCTTGGTTATCAGTTTCTGGGGTGGTCACTTAGATAGAAAGGTATCAATTTCAGTAAACATGACATATAATTTAGGGAATGTTAATATTAATTTATGCTGTCATTTATATGAAAAAGCCCGTAATCTGGTGTGATAATATGTGTGATAGAAAGATGTATGTCACTGTCAAACATTTCCTAAAAAGTGTTCAAGGACAACAGGGGGGAGGGGGCGTGAGTGGGGTGGGCATGGGGATTTGAATGGGGGGTTGAGGAGAAATACATGATACCTTAATCAATAAAGAAATGAAAAAACAAGGAAGGTGGACTTCAGTTCCTTGTTTTTCTATACTATGAAACTTGTTGTAAATGACAATCTGAAGATTAACCATAAGACATGTACATTTGCACTAATATGTGCAGAGAGCATCCACCATCAATGAAATCTGAAGTGTACATTATAGATCGGATTTTTATTATAATTAAAATATTCTATCTAATAAAGAGGGAATATGCTAATTGACCATCATACCCTGACAATCTGGTGGCACCCACAGCCAATAAAGAGAGAATATGATAATTGACTGACTGACCTTCACAAGATGATGGTATCCACAGCCGTAAGATGGACACACACAGTCCCTTTAGACCCACCTCATCCACCTCAGTCCCCTAGTCCCCTCATCCCTGCCTCATCCAGTCCCCACAAAATCCAGCGTCATCCAGCCACAGCCCCCCAGTACCCTCATCCCCACAGGGGAATGTAGCTGGGGGTAATCAGGCTGGTAGGGAAGGCAGTTGGAGGCGACTGAACAGGCAGGGGAGGGCAGTTGGTGACAATCATGCTAACAGGGGAGCAGTTAGGCATCAACTTGGTCACAGGGGAGTGATTAGGGGCTTTCCAGGCAGGTAGGCAGGTGAGTGATTAGAAGCCCACATTCCCGAGTTGTGAGAGGGATCACCAGCATTCAGACCTTCCCGTAGGGCCCCCAGATTGGAGAGGGTGCAGGCTAGGCAGAGGGACACCACCTCATGCACAAATATCATGCACAGGGCCTCTAGTAATTATATATCAAGTAAACAACTTACCATCACATCTACACATACTAAAACAAGAACCACAAAGCCTGAAGTCAGAAAAAAGGAAATCAGAAAGACCAGAATTAAAATAAACAAAAAAGCATTTAAAAAGTAAGTAAATAAGATGAGCTAAAGAACATATATGCTTAATCGATGGACACAAGTAATAGATTGGTGAGGGCCAAGATTAGATCTGGGAGTGGGAGAGGTGGGCAAAAGCAGGGGAGTTGGACACCTGCAACAATGTCAATATTTAGAAATTTTAATAGCGCCGGATGCCTTGCACGTCCATGTGAACAGCAGAGCCTTACACATGAGCCCTAGCCTCTGCGACTGCTCAAGCAGTCAAAGAAGCAACCACTGTCTGGGACAGCATGAGGAGCAGCCAGCCTACAACCCCTGAGGAGCAGCCTCCACGTGCAACCTCATGAGGAGCAGACACTGCCATGGTCATGCAAGCAGCCCCTGCTGTGAGACCGCATGAGGAGCAGCTGCTGCCATGACTGCCTGAGGAACACTGAAGTAGCCTACACACCTGTAAATGATACAATCTTAAAATTTTCAGCCAGTTTCCAGGAAATTTTTGCATTGCCTTTTCAAATTAAACTAGATGCTTTTTGCACAAATTTTTTTTAAAAAAATAATTCTTTGGGTGGCATCCTTAGGCCTGGCCTGTGCTCAGGGCCAATCAGCTTCTCTGCCACTCTCCCGCCTCCTTCCCTCTCTGCCTCCATGCTGCCTACATGTGGTTCCTTCCCCCTTCCTTTGCTATCTGTATTTGCACCCACTCTCCCCAGTTCCTTGTCCTAGCCTAGGTCATGGCTCTGACTGGGTGACCGGGACCTGCCAGCCAGGGGTACAGACCAGGAAGTTGGCCATTAGGCCCCATCAGTGACTTGGGCCTGTGGGCTGGGGGAAACTCCTGTGTTGAGCATCTGCCCCTGGTGGTCAGTTCTCCTCATAGTGATCAGATGTTCCTGTCATTCCATTGTAAAGGTCACTTAGGGTTTTATATCTATAGATGAATTTTGACTGACTTCAAAGTGGAAAGGAGAGACATAGAAATAATAATGAAAAAACCAAGATTGCGGCCTTGGTAAGAACTTAAGCTGCTGCCTTGCACAACAATTTCAAAACCACAACCAAAAGATAGAACGGACATCATCCAAAACCCCAGGAACCCTGTCTGAGTGGAAAAATCTACAACTAGAAAGAAGAGCCTCTCGGATCAGGGGAGCCACAAAGCGCTGAGGTAGAGAGACATGTGTGCCGAGGAAGGGCGACTGAGTTACTGGCTGGCACGAGGGGAAAGGAAGCCCCTGACTGCACTGCACCCCAGGTCCGACTGCACTGAACCCCAACCCAGGCCGAAACCTAGTGGACCCAGGCTCATAGGTGTGGAGTCTGGACTGTAGAGAAAAGCACCCAGAGACTCAGAGAGTGGGAGACTCAGGGGAGCCAGGAGCCACTGCGGGCAGGGACTAGACGCGTCCGTTTGCGAGTGAGTGCGTGCACAGAGGTCTGACCGTGGATTGCTGTGGCCACTCCACAGTGGAAGGAATCAGAAGCTCCTGACTCCAATGCATTAAAAATATTTTACAGAGACCCAACCCAATTCTGGGCGAGCCCATGGGACACCCATGCTCTTGCAAGGGCAATCTGGGCTGTCAGGCAGAAACTTGGGGGGGGGGGGCGCGGAAGGCAGAGATCTGAGGCGGGCGCACAAGGGCAGGACTGACGGTAAGCCAGGACTGTTGGCTCAGCTCTGAGACTCAGCCCCATCCAAGCTGAACACAGAGGCTTTTGGAATTTTTCTAGTTTGATCCCATAAGACTGTCTCCAATACAGAAAGTATCCCAGCATAGACACAGCTGATACATCCAATTGGCCTAGAGGTCAATTCCTCCCAGGGATACCAACGACAATCAAGACCTAACTACAACAAGGCTGTACACACAGTCCACAAAGGAGAATACCAAGAGTGTCTACCTCAGATAACTGGGGAGGCTGACCTACTGGGCCATATAGGACACCAAACACACAAAGACATCCTACCAACTCTGGGAAGCAGCGAAAATGCTGAGAAAAGGAAAAAGATCTCAAATGAAAGAGATGGAGGGGAATAAAAGACTGAATATAAAATTCAAAACCAAGATTATAAGGTTTTTCAAGAATTTCCTAGGAAAAGCAAATAAATTTAATGAGACCCTTGAGGATATGAAAAAGGACCAACTAGAAATTAAACATACACTGACTGAAATAACCAATATTATACAGAGACCCAACAACAGACTAGAGGAACACAAGAATCAAGTCAAAGATTTGGAATACAAAGAGGCAAAGGACACTCCTCTAGAGAAGTCAGAAGTAAAGAGAATCCCGACAGTTGAAGATAGTATAAGGAGTCTGTGGGAGAACTTTAAGTGTACCAACATCAAATTATGGGGGTGCCAGAAGAAGAGAGAGTGCAAGATACTGAAAACCTATTTGAAGAAATAATGTCAGAAAACTTTCCCCATCTGGTGAAAGAAATAGACTTACAAGTACAGGAAATGCACAGAATCCCAAACAATAGGAATCCAAAGAGGACCACACCAAGACACATTATAATTAAAATGCTAAGGGCTAAAGACAAAGAGAATCTTACAAGCAGCAAGAGAAAAACAGTTAGATACTTTTAAGGGAGCACCCATATGACTGTCAGCTGATTTATCAACAGAAACTATGCAGATGGAAGTGGCAAAAAATATTCAAAGTGATGAATATCAAGAACCGTAACCAAGATTACTCTACCCAGCAAAGTTATCATTCAGAATTGAAGGGCAGATAAGGAGATTCACAGATAAGAAAATGCTAAACCAGTTCATCACCACCAAACAAGTATTAAATGAAACGCTGAAAGGTATTTTTTAAAAAGTGGAAGAGGAAAGAAAAAGATAAAAATTATGATCAATAAATACATATATATCAACAACTGAATCTAAAAATCAAGTGAATTTAAAAAATTGAGGAACAGAAAAACAAACACACCAAAATGAATGAGAATCATTGATCCGCTACTTCCTGAATGCCTCACACCGAGGATGGAGCCTGCAAACCGGGCATATATACTGACGGGAATTCAACCATCATCTCCTGGCTCATAGGTTAATGCTGAACCACTGAACACACCAGCGGACTGCATAGCATCTTTGTACTTACTTTCAGTAGCTATGGTATGAACAAAACATGATGGATAGAGAGACCCCTCCCGCCACAGGCACTTTTCTTCCCTTCCCCTTCACCTTGAACCTCAGGTGCTCCTGCATCTGCATGCTCTTCTTCAGGTGTAACATCCTGACTCTCAGAGGGTGACTCCTCTAGTTTAGGTTTTTTATCACTGGGCGGCTGGTCCTAGAAGTGTGTGTGCGCGTAAATGAAAGGTTTTGCTGTTAATACATGACAATCATAACCATATACATAATATACACTCATGTATAATATAATCACGAGAAAGAATAAAGGGATTTTGGCCATGATATATTTATTAATATCGTTTCTCTCCCCTCTGCCTGGTTCTTTGGAGAGGAGCTGCCCACAAGGACTTCTAAAGCTGAAGTTCTATTAAACTCTCCAGGGATGGATGTGGGCTGTCTGTGTTAATGAGCATGAGAAAGGAGCCATAGGGGGTATTTCCATTGGCAATGCCAGAGAGAAAACCTCCTGGATCAAGGCTTCCTTCATTAGGAATGCTCCTGGGCCAACGTTACTCCCTTGTGAGCTCACAAACTTTTAATATAGTACATAGAGGCATTCCAGGAAACTTAAAGGAAAAACGTTTCTGGCAATAGTTCAGATATCAAAGCACTCACAGCCACCGGTCCAACTTGCTGTTCAGACTCTACATCTTCTATTAGTATGGTATTACAGTCAACTTTTACTGCCACAATTCTAACTTTTTTCATTTTTCACACTGGAAGAAGAACAATTTGATTAGGAAAATGTACTTAAGAGGATAAATAGACCACCTCCATGGCAAAATGATTATTTCCTTTTTTAACTTTGAACGCACTTTAAAACTAAGTGCCCAGTCTATCCGGTGATACCAAATACAGGGGTTTGCCAATCCACCTAGGTCATGGCCATGCTGCCTGCCATCGCCTCAAGCAGGTGAGAAACGACCACGTCTGCTGTCACAATGGCTTCCCCTTGAGGAAGACGCTCAGGACAATACTGCTTAAACCACACTGAGTGAGCACCGCTTTGCCCGCTCCCGGGATCAGCCCATTTCCCTCCAGTCAGTCCGGCTGGAGCGCACAGGAGGCCTCCGGGCCGCCATGCTGCTGTGCTGCTTGGAACTGCCAGGAGGCACAGGGACCAGGTGCATCCAGGGGCTGTGCCCGTGTGTCCCTCAGGGACTCTGCTGGGGGCGCTGCACACCTCGGGAGGGGGCGCAGCTCTAGGCCTCAGCGGGGCGGGCCCTCAGCATGGCCGTGTCTAGGCCCTTCCTTCGCCGCGCCCCCCTTCCCAGCGCCCCAAGGAGGACCGGGGATTGTGTTCTGTGGGCCGTTCCAGGGCCCTCCAGGGCCCAGACACCCCAAATACTGTCCCCCAAACCCTTTACCTGCCCCCTGCCCTGGGGCTCAGCCCCTCCTAGTCTGGGTCACGCCAGGCCTAACAGGGCCATGGCGGCCATGATGCCTGAGAGGACAGAGGCGCTGCCCTCGAGGCCCTTCCTCCTAGGAGGCCACAGACCCCGCCGCTCCGCCCCCACCCAAACCCGCGGGCCTTCTCCTCACACTCTGCCATATTAATTAAAGTCCCGGAGGGCAGCTCTGTGGACCTACCAGGTGAATGTGCACCAGCGAGAAGGAATCAAAATGGAAGGAGCACGGCCGCCTGCTGCACACTTCTCCTCAGCGAACTGGGACAGCAAAGCGCATGCGCAGCAACAGACTTGGGTGAAAGGCGCATGTGCGGAAGTGGCCTTATATGGAAATGAACAGTCTGAACTGTGCAGCTCTGGGCATGCGCAGCAGTGGGCATGCGCAGCAGTGGGCGTGGTCTGAAATGCGCATGCGTGTATATGAGCATGGAGGCTCACTTGTTCACCTCATACATGAGTTGAGGTTTCCCTGCCAAGGCCACAGAGCATTGCAATCTCTAGGTCAGCCCTGGTCAAGAAAATGGTTCGAATCATTTCCCTACCGTGAATCATACTTATTCTTTCAGTTACATTGTGGATAGACAGGGGACGTTTAACCTCCATGGACAATATGTTTCATAAACAGGGCCGTGACAGAAACGTATCTTAATAACATGTTTACACGTATATTTTTAGAAATCACTGCCTTCTGATTTGGGGATTTGTGACATACAGAAAGGAATTCGCTCACTTCCATAAATTAAATACATTAACCTGCCCTGCTCTCCCATTTTCTTAACCTCTCTGCTTGTGTTACCATGCATGCATCTCCAGACAGTAACCGTTTCTCTGAACATACCTGTGGTCACTCGGTCAGTGTATGGTTCCGCAATACTCTTAGATAACGGTGCTAGCACTTAGGCTCAGTCCTCAATCAGTTGCTGTGAGGCAGTACTGTATCCTGTACTCCACTTCCCAATCATCAGACCAACAACTTGCTAATCACAGATCACTTACAGCCTATCACTACAACATCGGTCTGTCTTTACACACTTATATAAGTTTTTACATTGAGAAAGAAGAAGGATTTCTAACTTACAACCTGAATCCCCAAATCTGCTTTAAATAAGATAGAATGACAAATGTTGTGTACACTTTGTTCCAACTTAACTGTGAGGATTAAATTAGGTGATACATGTGTGGAACCCAGCTCTTAGAGGTGTTAATGAGTAGTGTATACTTTATAAATGTGACTCCTTATTCCTAAGATCTCAATAAATGGAGCTGTCCTTATAAGTACATAGATGAGCATGCAGTCAGGTCATTCCTTACCATGTAGGAGATTGAAATTATCTGGCAAATTAAGAGAGCCATGACTTTTCCCTCACTGGAGTAGTAAAACAAGGCACGTGGCTCACCAGCTGTGTTTGACATGTTTGGCAAATTTGATATCAGTATATAAACAAAAGTGGGTAGCTTTTAAGTGACAGCATCATCACAGATATCTAAGAGGGAAGATGAGCATCTCACAAAAGCTGAAGTGATGGGCACTTTGAAACATCTCCTTCTGCTCCTCTGTTGTAAGTAGGCTCTGATGGGATGCCACTCAGAGCTGATCATGGGAAAGCCTATTGCTCCCCTGTTCCCAGCATTGAGGAGACTTACATTCCAGAGAAGAGAAGTTTTTTTTTGGTATCAGTTCATTTGAAGAAGCTAGTGTACCTTTGTACCAAAGTTCAAGAAAAAGGGTACGTGAAATAAAATGGCCTAATGTTGTTCATGAGGTCCTTCGCACACATCCTAACCAAAGTATTAAGATGTAGTTTATTCAGAAGAATAATATTTTGTGACCAGCTCCTCTACCTTTGAGAAATACAAGATTTTTTAAACTTAGAAATTTATCTATATAACTCACCATATTAACAGATTAATGGAAGGAAAAATCCTATGACCAGTTCAAGAAATACACAAGTGTCTGATGGAAGTCCACAAATACTCAAGGTTAAAATTCTTACTAGATTAGGATTGGAATGGAAATTCCTTTACTTCACCGTCAACATGGTAAAATGTTAAACATTTTTCCATGTCATATCAAGAATAAAGCAGCATTCATAAACTAATCCCAATTTTATTTGCATTGTACTCTGTGTAAAAAAAGGTAACAGGTATATTTAAAAAAAAAATCCTCACTAGAGGATATTCCTTACATTGTTTTTCTCAGAAAGCATGAAATGGTGGGATACGGGGTTGGCGGTAGGGAGAGAATAAGTGACATACACACACACACACACACACACACACACACACACTCACACACACACACACACACACACACTCACACACACACCCACACCCACACTCTGATTGATTGCCTGCCTCATGCGACCCAACTGTGTCAGGGGATAGAGCCTACAACCTGGTAAGAACCCTGGATGGGTAATGCATTCCAAGACCCATAAATCTACGTACCAACACTCAGTTCACTGAACTAAACCAGGCAAAGTAGTATAATTTTTTCTTTAAATCCTGAACTGAGTTCATTTTTCAGTTCAATTTTAGAGAGTGGAAGAGAGAGGGAAAGACAGAGAAATATCCTAGTGAGAGAAACACATTGATTGGTTGTCTTCTGCGTGAGCCCTGACCAAGGCCCAGCCGGGGAGCAGCCTGCAACCAAGGTGCCCTTGATTGGAAATCAAACCTGGGACCCTTTGTTAGACAGGCCGATGCTCTATGCACTGGCTAGGGTCTAGGTAGCACACTTTTTAAAATAGCCAATAAAAAATCTGTCAGCATTTAAAAATAACTTGATTGCTCATTAGGAAACTTAGAATCTATCTAGAAATAAAGTTTTAGCCGAAACCGGTTTGGCTCAGTGGTAGAGCGTCGGTCTGCGGACTGAAAGGTCCCGGGTTTGATTCCGGTCAAGGGCGTGTACGTTGGCTGCGGGCACATTCCCAGTATGGGATGGGCAGGAGGCGGCTGGTCGATGTTTCTCTCTCATCGACGTTTCTGGCTCTCTGTCTCTCTCCCTTCCTCTGTAAAAAATCAATAAAATATATTTAAAAAAAAAGAAATAAAATTTTAGAAATAATATGCATACATAGCAAGGTTGCTAAAATGAATACCAATGTAAAAATACACCGAGTGTCCAGATTATTATGTTCTTTGAACACATAATAATTTGGCCACTCAGTGTATATCCTAAATAATAAAAGGCTAATATGCAAATTGTCCCCTCAACCAGGAGTTATAGGAGCAGGCAGGACAGCCAACTGGCCATGTTCCCTCCCATGGCCAGGCTATCTGGATCCTACCGATGTATGAATTCATGCAGCAGGCCCTAATACACACACACACACACACATACACACACACACACACACACACACAAACAAGCATACACACTGAGTGGCCACATTGTGCGTTCCGATGTCATAATAATCTGGCCACTCAGTGTATTTCTGTATATGAAAGCTCAATTAGCATGCAAAATGTCGGAAAATGAAATAATTTTTGATAGCATTAAATTTTGGGGAATACGCGTTACAAAAGATTTGCAACATTCCTTGGATAATGCTGAAAAACTTTATTGAGAGAACTTTTAACAGTGAAGTATCCAACTTCAGAAACATCTGTGTCTCTTGAGATTATCTTCCTTTAATCGAATGGTTTTTCCTTCCCCTGCAAAAGAAAAATAATTCTTGGGAATACTCCTTAGTCTCATTTGATTTAGATAACATTAATGATACACAAAGGATAAAGTTTAGTTTTTAAAAAAATATATTTTATCCATTTTTTACAGAGAGGAAGAGAGAGGGACAGAGAGTCAGAAACATCGATGAGAGAGAATCATCTATCAGCTGCCTCTTGCACACTTCTCCCCACTGGGGATGTACCCGCAACCAAGGTACATGCCCTTGACCAGGACCCTTCAGTTCGCAGGCTGACGCTCCATGCACTGAGCCTGAAAAATTGTTTTCGGCCTGAAGTTTAGGTTTTATAAGACGACTTCCATGCCTACATCTTACTGATATTGACTAAACACTCCACTCTTTCTATAAAGAAAAAGGGTGTTCCAGTTCAGAGCACAGGAAATGAAAGGAACTTATGAAAATGTGGTTTTAAATAGTAAGAAAAAATCTGAACACATTCCAACAGAAATCCACTAAGAGAGAAAAGAAATGTACAGAAATGCTTCAATTGGAAATACTATTCTGAATATAGGAGAGCTAAAACAGTATTGTGACACTTGTTCCTGCCTACGGGAAGAAAACAGAAAGGCCCATACTGTCTTTGACAAGTAGGGTAATAACCAGATGT